CCCCCCCCCCCCCCCCCCAAAAAAAAATATTTATAATACGCATTGATGATTTTGATTAAAAATAACTGATAATCGTATATTAATTAATATCCAATCAAACCTCTCCATTAAAACCAAAGTTAAGTATTTATATACCATAAATTTGTATATTTTTCATGTCAATATATGGGTATATATACAATCCGTATATCGAGTCCTTGGATACACCCAAAAGCCATGGTTGTGACGTGTCTCTTTGCCTTCATCTTAAACTAAATCCCACGTGTCTTGACCGACCCGATTCATTTCCGGGCAGTTTAGATTCAAGAAAATAAAGACTTTACACCTTACCTTCTGTTCAAATCAAATTTCAATACACATTGATTTTTTCACAATTTTTGTTGAACCGTATGCATCAAAAGGTGCTTGTACGGTTTTAATTCATAAGTTTAACGGGTTTTCGATTCAACTATATCTTTCAAAAGATCGAAAAAAACGTATCAATACCTCTTTTCAAAGACTCAAACCTCAATTAAAAATAATATTTTTCCTATCTTTTACCATTCACTTAATTTTTGGTCACCCAATTTAGATTTGCTTATTATATTTGACCTTTTTTAATCCAAGGAAATATCAAAGATCCAATATTATTGGAATTAAAAGTAATTATTTTGAATACATAAAAACACTCAGAACTAAAATTCAAATCTATAAATTTGGACCGGCAAATTGAAAAAGAAAACTCATTAATTCCGATCTTAAATTAGAACTTTACAAGTAGAGATTCGATTATATTTTATCAATTAATTGTTTATACGAATTTTTTTTCTGGATGAAATTATAAACGAATTATATTTACATTTACTGTTCTATTTGGTTGTGTAAAAAGTTAATTAATTTTAATGTTTAGGATAATGCATAGACGAAGGGGGAAAAAATCAAGTCAAGAGAATGGAACAATGAAAAATGACAAGACGTGTGGTCTTACCGAGTTTTTTGGATTATTAACCTTTATGATGTATACATCATCTAATTAAAAAATGTGATTATAAATCTATAATAATTCAATTTATGATGTCTTATATAATCCAATATACAGAGGTGATTATAATTTTATGATAAAACAAAAAAATGTGAAGAAATATAAAATGGAACAAAAACAATTGGACCCTAAATAACACTAAAAAGCACAAGAAATGGGCCCATAGGAGAATAATTAATATTTCCAATGGGAGAATTTTCGGCCCAAAATGGAAGAAAGGTCAGTATTTCTAAGAGGGCTCACTCATGGACCGGGAAGGGAAATTATAAGGATTTTAAATGTGAATATCGAGGAAAATTAAAATTAAAATTTGGAAAAAATAGGAATAATCATAAAAAAAAAACTCCCTACTTTTTCAGGGTAACGAAAAAATCCTATACTTTTTTTATTACCAATTAAACCCTCTTATATGTGATGTGATTAATCCATAAAACCCTGTACTTTTTAAAAATTCACCGAAAATTCTCTGCAGATGTCAATTCAAACAAAAATGATGATGTGACAATGACATGATATGAACATATCATCATAATTATGCCACATCATCATTTCAAATAAAATTTAAATACATTTTTTTAAATTTGTTTTTTAGACCTTGAAAAAAGCCATCCTAACAAATTACATTTTTTTTAGAAAGAATTCTAAGGAACTAAGAGAAAAATGTTAGTTTGGCTAAATTAATTGGTTAGTAAGAAAACTCATATATATATATATTTTTTTTACAATATTATGATAAGCTTCCTAATTATTTGAGGTTAAGGCAGAGTAACAGATTTTTAAAAGTCTAGGTTAGGGAGTCTTTTAATTCTATTAGTTTTAGTTTTAGTTTTGATTTTGTTTTCTATCTAAGATTTCGGCTAGAATTTTTTTATAGTATAAAATAAAAAAGGAAATATGATATAGATACCTCAACTTTTTAAAGATGTACCAAATAAATATTTTAATTTTTAATTTTACAATATAATATACTAAATATTAAAACACGTCAAATTAATACCTCAACTTCTGAAATTAAAGGCAATTTTCAACCAATATCCTTATACATTTATTCAAAAACGTCTAAATTTCTAAGTTTTAGTTGAAAATTGCTTTCGATCTCAAGAGTTTAATACAATTTTAAAGAATTGACTCATTAATTTGATACATTTTAATATTTAAAATATTATTTTATCGAATTAAAAATCAAAGTATTTATTTGGTATATATTGATCCAACATTAAAAACATTAGATATCTTTAGATCTTTTGAATTATTTAAATTAAAAGATATAAAGATGTCTTGAGGTAGCAGCAATCTATTATCCAGAATGAAGGATGGTATTCTAATGCTTTATCCAAATTACTTCCATAAAACTCATAGAAAATCCAAAAAACGGCGGTCCATTCCATAGAGGTAAATAAAAGCACCCGGATTTAATTTTAAGGGTAACATCAATGGTCATAAAATTTGGTGATTATCATCTTTAAATGAGTAGTAAATGATTAGTTGTTGGGTCAGCTTTGAATATAATTTAAATGCGAAAATTGTGTGGCATAAGCAAAAGTGATGGTGGCATCTTTGGGTTTACAGATTCCTTTCCCTTTGTTTGCGTTCACACTTGGAAGATCCCTTCACTTGCCCATGTTCACACTTCACATCACTCAGGCTTTTATTATTATTATTCGAGTCACAAAAATAAATATAAAATTTTCTCAAATATTAAAAATAAACTGTATAAATCTTACCAAATCACCAATTTAAAGTTTTCAATTAAATTTTGATAAAAATTAGATAAATCATTTTAATATTGCAATCACGGAAATTTTATTTTTTTTAGAAAATTTAAGAGTTTGTGTCAAAATTAGATATTTTACATGAAAATTATTATTATTATTATTATTGTCGGCGTCGTTGATGTTGTTATTCGGCTTGGGTTTCTATTCGGCTCGTTGCATATAATTATACATTGTTCAATTTGTTTGGAAAATTAATAATTATAATTTTTCTTCTAAAGTTTTTTGACCTAATATGACTTTTACAAATAAAAATTACATAACTATGTGAGAAACAATAAAAAATATTTATTTGTAATAATACTAAAAATATTAATTAAAAAAATCAAAACAAATTAAGATCAGTTTGTATGAACTAATTTTGTTGTTAAAGAAAAAAAAAGTCAAATTAGTGAATCAATCTCATGGAATCCGAGACAATTCTACGTCATGTCATGTTTATAGGTATTATGATCCCCAAATCTCGAATTGCAAATTATCATTGATAAATTAGGTATTTTTTTTAAATTAAACCAAAAACATTAGTATTTTTGTGATATAAAAAAGAAAAATAATAAAACAAGAAAAAAACTCAAGCCGAGATGAAGAGCCGACAAAAAGCTGAGGTGACAAATCGAGGAGAAGTTGGTGAGACAACGAAGTCAACCAACAATTATCCACGTCGGATAAGCATCTCCATCTGACGTGGCAACTTGTTAGGTCTTGACTCTCTCCTTTTGTTCCTCCTCCTCCTCCTTTTCACTATATAAAAACGACTCTCTCCCTCCCCTCATCAAAACCTCTCTTCTCCGATCCATACATACATATATACACATATATATATATATATTGAAGCTTTTTTTTTTTCTGACCCCAATAATAATTTATAAAAACTCGAAATGGGAAACTGTATAAGGCACGAATCTCCAATGCATTGGGGCGGCGACGACTGGGATTCACTTCTTGAAGACGGATATTTCGAAGAAGAGATCTCGAGCAAGATCCATCACGACAAGTCCGAGGTTGTAAGAGAAATCATCGTCTATCATCAAGAAGCAAGAGACGGTATTTCGAAATCGATGGTTGGGATTTCTTCAGAGGTTAAGATCAAGATCGAGAAGAAGCAGCTGGAAGAGCTGTTGGGTAAGGTGAACGTCAAAGAGTTGAACGTGCAACAAGTTTTAACGTATCTGATGAACAGCGGTGACGATAGATATGAAACGAATCAACGATCATGGCGGCCGGTCCTGCAAAGTATACCAGAGATTTAATCATATATATATATATATATATATATATATATATATATATATATATTTTATTATTGTTCTTGCTTGTAGGTATGTATATTTCATATGTAGGATTTGTACATGGAGATAGATATATATCTTTTGTTGTAACTTTCATGGTCAGAGTATAGAACTTGATTTTTTTTAAATTTGTCGTATTTTTTAAAAATTTTCTGTCAATTATTATTATTTCCTTTCTAATGATATAATTTCACGATCAATAATACACTTGAGAAATAAAAATTGAACTCTAACCACTAAGATATATTGGGTGGGATTCACAAACCGAGTTCAATTTGGTTTATTTTGAACATCGTTCTGGTTCTGGTTGTGGTTCGGTCTATTTTTGTTTTCCTTTTTGTAAAACTGATTAAATTAAACAAAATTAGATTTATCTGACGTCTACGTAGATACAAAAAAATATTTTAAAACTATAGGATTTTTAGCTAAGATTTTAACTCAAATTTGTTTCGGTTCCTAATCGGTTTAAAATGAGATACAAATGGAAAAAATTAGAGCGAATTCACCACATTGTATTTTGTTTTGATTTTGAAGTAATTCACACATATCAGCAAGGGACGAAGGGGAGAATATGCAATACTGATTAAAGAAATGTGGTGAGTTTCTTCAACAAATCTTGTGGAAATCCGTCTTATAGTAACAACAACGTCATTATATGATCATAATATATACTAAATGTCGGAAATTTTCCAAAGATAACACGATTTGATTCGTCTTATACAACTTAAAATAACGCAATTTGATTCGGGTGAATCTACCGTTGTTAGGATTTAGTTGTTGTTTTGAATTGATCAAATATATGAATATGTTTCTGATTTTATATTTTATTTCTACTTTGTAGCAAGTTTATCTTGTGATGTTTGTTATTTAAGATAGCTAATCTTTTTTTTTTTTGGTAACGGGGGAACCAGCACGATCCTTCGGATGCAGAGTAAACCCACCGGTCTCACGCAATAGCCTGCAAACCACGTGTAACAAATAAACCAACCGAAACTGACAGGTTGAGTAACAAATAAACCAACCGAAACTGACAGGCTGAGGAAAAACTCATACTTGGAAGGTTGAACCCATGACCTCGATTAGGAGGTATATACTCTCAACCAACAAAGGTGGGGTTTCCCTAAGATATAATTAATCTTCTGTATAATTAATAAGAAAAGCTTTATACTTAACATAAATAGAAAATGCTATATATGCATGATCGTTACTATCCAAAGATATGATATCTTATAATAAAAACACATAAAGATTTCATGACATAGTTCAAAGTGGACAGGACAAGTAGTAAAATGGGGCAATTAAAAGCCACACGGTCATGGATTCGAACATTGGGTAATTCACCAATACAAAAAAACAAGATTTCATGACACATAGTGTTAAATCCAAAGTGACATTTCATTTCCAACAAAAAACAACATACTTTGATGGTTGCATAATACAATCCATGATGGTACAACCACGATAGAGCCCGCCGGACTTTGGACCATTACAACATAATATATAATTCATAACCAATCATGGTAAATTACTAATTTTGTTCCGTAGTGGATGATTTAGTAACATCAAAAGTAAACTGATAGAAAGCTTTTTGTTGGGCTTTGTGTGTTTTGATGTTTGTAAGCTTTTATTACATGATTGGGTTTTAGGGTTTTTTTTATATATTTTATTTTGGACTATGCGTTTAGTGAATAACGGGCCGATGCCCATGGATGACCTTGTATTCAGTCCTCTACAAGAGATTCTTCATCTAATAAAACTATCCAAAGAGTTTTGCATTAGAAAAAAAAAATCTGAATTTAGAAAAAAGGGCTTTTTGGGTATTTTGCATGGTAAATGAGACAATTTTTGTATTTTTCAGGCGATACAATACAAAACATAATTTTCTAAACAAAGATTACAAAATTATCTTTTCTTTTTTTTTTTCTTTTGTGAAGTGATGTAGTAATGTGCACGAGCTGAACGTGTTACAGATATTTTTCTACAAAAAAAAAAAAAGATCAAGAAAAAGAAAAGCATCTTTTGACGGCTTCTGAGCTCCTTCTTCTCCTCCAATGGAGGAGTCTCACATGGAACAATTCAATGAAGTACATAAAAAAAAGGGAGAAAGAGTTGCCACAGCCACCCTTTTGGGATCCCCCACTTGTTCTTCATGCTTCTCATGATCTTTTAATCCTCCAGAAATTTCAACTCTCTTTTCCCAATTGTTTAATCATTATTATAATCTTCCTGGATTGTCTGTCGCAATTCCACAACAACATTATCCTATACAATATTTAAAAGCAACCCGCATAACCAGAAAAACCCATCTGTCCAATTATTACTTGAACAATAAGGTATTATCTGCGCCCCTGCTGCTGAGTTGATGCTTCCACGTCTCAAAGGATCTGACTTTTTTCCCCCCATATTTCTCAGTTTTTCTGCTCCATCCTCTCCAATTCTCACCTAATTTCCACAAAAGTTTCAACCTTTTTCTCTGGGTGTTGAGAATTTCGAGCCATGGGCATTTGTTTCTCAAAGAAGAATCATGGGCTCAAGCCTCAGCAAAATGGGTATCGCTCAGCTGAGGCGGAGAACCACCGGAGCCACCAAGATCCGCCGCCTTACGCGGCGCAGCAGCGAAGCGCTCAACCGGAGAAACCCGCCGGAGCAAACCAGCAGCCACCGTCGAGGAGTTCGATGCCAGTTCCAAGCCCCAAGGGGACGAAACACAGCACGATACTTGAGAAACCGTACGAGGATGTCAGATTGTTCTACTCACTGGGAAAAGAACTGGGTCGGGGACAATTCGGTGTTACGTATCTGTGTACCGAGAATTCGACGGGGAAACAATACGCTTGCAAGTCGATTTCGAAGAAGAAGCTGGTGACGAAGGGTGATAGAGAGGATATGAGGAGAGAGATTCAGATAATGCAGCATCTGAGTGGTCAACCAAACATTGTGGAGTTCAAAGGAGCTTATGAGGACGAAAAAGCTGTGAATCTGGTGATGGAGCTTTGTGCAGGAGGTGAACTGTTCGACAGAATTATTGCAAAGGGGCATTACAGTGAGAGAGCAGCTGCTTCAATCTGTAGATCGATTGTGAATGTTGTGAATATCTGTCACTTCATGGGTGTGATGCATAGAGACTTGAAGCCTGAGAATTTCTTGCTTTCAAGTAAGGATGAGAGGGCTCTTCTCAAGGCCACTGATTTCGGATTGTCGGTGTTCATCGAAGAGGGCAAGTGTTTCTTCCTTGACCTGTTATTTATTGTATTGAGAATTTGTTGTCTCTGAATGAGCTTGTGTTGAAATTTGGGTTCACCATTTTTGGGGGCTTTGGCTTTTGAACAGATTTGACTGTTTCTAGGAGTTAAGATGAGACATGGATCAAGGCTTTTAGATCTTTGACTTGACCTGCATTGTCCCTGCCTTGTTTCTGTGTCTTGGTTCCCTAAATTATGTAATGATCAAGCCTCTCTTGATCATTGGACAACGGTTTATAGGGATGAACAAAAAAGTCCAATATGACGGTGAACAATTTCACAGAGTTGGTAGTTTGGAAGAGGAAACCCATTGGTTTCTGCAGGTTCTGAAGATATGTCCCCCCAATCGTGCATCCATTAGTTGAGCCAATGAATAAGTTTGTATTAGACTTTGTTTTTTTAAGATTGGGGAAACATTCTGGGCATGTTTTCTATAATAGCAATATTGCTATTCAATGTACAATGTCTTTTACTGACAAGCTCTTTCCTCAGTGCATTGTTCTTTGAAAGTAGCTTCTTATTCCCGCCATTCGGGTTCTCTTTCTTTCAGGAAAAGTGTACCGAGATATAGTTGGGAGTGCATACTATGTTGCACCCGAAGTGCTACGCCGAAGATATGGAAAAGAAGTTGATATTTGGAGTGCCGGAGTCATACTATACATTCTGCTCAGTGGTGTACCCCCCTTCTGGGCTGGTAATGGAACATGAAGTTTTCTCCTTGTTTCCGTTCATATTTACTCGAGGAATAGATAGTATTAAAAATCGTGGTTTTGTACTCTGTCAATCTGTCTGAATAATGCAGAAACGGAGAAAGGGATATTCGATGCTGTACTGGAGGGGCAGATCGACTTTGAAAGCCAACCATGGCCGTCTATCTCTAGCAGCGCCAAGGATTTGGTTCGCCGAATGCTGACACAGGACCCGAAAAGGCGAATTACTGCCGCTCAAGTCCTTCGTGAGTAACCTCAATTCTTTTAAAAATTACATTCCTGGCATGTTTTTCACAGTTCAGGAGCCTCTTGCTGGTTCTTTGCGTGTCTGATACTTCCTGTATTTGTTCTGTATAAAACATTAGGACCATTCCGTGTCTACCTCCCTAAACCCTTTATGCTGAAGTTGAGGATTTAACTAATTGTTTTTATGCAGAGCATCCATGGCTAAGAGAAGGAGGAGAGGCATCAGACAAGCCAATTGACAGTGCTGTTCTCTCAAGGATGAAGCAATTTAGAGCTATGAACAAACTGAAGAAACTCGCGTTGAAGGTGAGATCAAGAATCTATATGGCCATGACATAATTGTCTCGTAAAATCAGAGACGGTTACTCAGTAAAAAGTGTCCGTTATCCGCCTGCCCATTTGTCTTTCACGTGATAAATTTCTCGTAGGTCATAGCGGAGAATATTGACTCGGAAGAAATCCAAGGGTTAAAGGCCATGTTTGCCAACATAGACACCGACAACAGTGGAACAATCACGTACGAAGAACTGAGGGAAGGATTAGCCAAACTTGGATCTAAACTTACTGAATCTGAAGTGAAGCAGCTCATGGAAGCTGTAAGTTTGATCTTTACGAATCTTTCTTTTTTGTTTCTTGGACTTCGAACAGAAGGTTAATGCGGAAAAACACACACCCATTTTTGTGTCTGAGAATAGGCTGATGTTGATGGAAACGGGTCAATCGATTACATTGAGTTCATTACTGCAACGATGCACAGACACAGGCTTGAGAGCGACGAGAACCTTTACAAAGCCTTCCAACATTTCGACAAGGATGGAAGTGGGTAAGTGAACAGAACAAAGCTACATTGTTCAGAAGCCTCCGTTACGATTTCTTGTGGTAGCAGTAGAGATCCCACAAAATAGGAAGCGGGTTAAAGTTCGCTAGTTATATGATTTTATATAAGTTGTTTTTGTCGACGTTACGTCTCCGCAGATACATTACAATAGACGAGCTTGAGGCTGCTTTAAAGGAATATGGAATGGGAGATGATGCGACGATCAAAGAGATATTGTCAGATGTGGATTCTGATAATGTAAGCAAACGCTCTTCTTCTCTTCTTACAAGAGACTTTTAAGTTCTGTCAGATGTTCATGATTCGAATCATTGCACAGGACGGTAGAATCAACTACGAGGAATTCTGCACGATGATGAGAAGCGGAAATCCTCAGCAACCGAGGCTGTTCTAGAGGCAAATCTCCCCGATCTCTTTTTTCTTTCCCCTTCAAAACCCAACCCGATTTTCGTAAGTTGAAGAGGAGAGATGATAACCCATTTGAAAAGTGTAGGGTTGTCGGCTTCAACGCTGAATCTGATTCAGAAAGACAAAGAGCTGTTGCAATGTTTGTTGTTGGAGCAAAACTATCGAGGTAGGATGTTTGTGATGTTCTGATTGATGTGTTGTATTTTGTTTTCATGTTCTTTCTTTGTGTGCTTCATACTTTGTATTTGTAGTTAAAGAGGCTTGTTTATGCTTCACGTCTACGTTTAATCTATCTATCTATATATATATATATGAAGAGATCTCGAGCACAGAAAATCAAACAATATGCAACAATTGAGAAGGTTCAATCCCTAAATAATATCAAACATTAGAACCCATGAATCTTTAATTTGTTGGAACATGCTATTTCTTTGATTCTTGATAGTGTTCGGTGATAATATAAATTCATTTCCCAACAAATTATTTTAATGTTTTAAATTTATTTTAAAATGTAATTTCTTCCCCTCCCCCCTTATTCTAGTTTAAAATTTATTGAATTAAAATTATAAAAAGAAATCTACGATATCTTGACCATTTTACAAATATTGGGGTATAAATAACATTTGAAACTTGGGATATGAATGTGAGTAAATACGGAATCCTCGATCCAGAATTTCAAAAGACAAATGTCCAAATACGTAGCAACAAGATTTTAATCTTAAAAATAATAATAAAGGAACAGACAATAAGAAGACAAAAATATTCACACCATTGACACCATGAGAGAGTAATGATAGGGGGATTATTTACCGATCAGGTAATCGTTTGAGGTCCATTTCCACTTGATGGATCGTCCATTGCATATTCTCCAGCTTCTGTGACACAAAAGAAAGCTTATTATCACTTGTCATAAACTCACACTCACTCCCAAATTTACATCCCCAATTAATTTTCTTTTAACAACGGGAAAACCCTAACTGCTCCCCTTCGGATAGCACTGACTAGGTCTTTTGACCCATAAATTAATCCCTCACCATCATGAGTAATCGATTACTGCAGTGCCAAAGCACCACATGCCAACCATTCGACCACCCCATATTGGGTACCCCAATTAAATATTAGAAACACTAAACACAAAAAGCTTATAATCACTGTTATGCACTCACATTCACTCCAAACGGTACACTCTAAAGTCAAAAATAAATATTAAAACACTAATCATCGTCTCTCAAACCTGTACAATGTCGTGGTACTGCCTCGCAATGGTATCGAAATGCGGATCCACGCCTTGATACTCTCTGAGGCGCGTGACCTATCCATTTTCGCACTAGTTGTTATCGGTGAGAATAAGAAAGGCTTATGTATCGATGTTTGATGGATCGGTCACTATGAAGGACCGCTAAACTAAAAGATGGGATGATAATACGAGGGTGAGGGGACTCACCGCTTTGTTGTAGGCAGCTGAAGCTTCCTCAGTGGCTTCGACAAGATAACTCCTGCGAAACATAGAGGTCCGGATTTGAGACGGTGATCAGGATAGCTCTTAAACAATACACATCGTCATGGGATATCTAGAGAAATGCTGCGTCCGTACCTGATCTTGTGCAGGGCTGGTATCGACTCACGGGTGTATGTCTCAAGCAGGAGAACATGTTCTAAAACCCTTTAAGAGAGAGTAATCGAAAGAATTGCAGAAACTGTTAGGCTATTATGCACACCATATATGTATACATGTATGTATGCATGTATGTATATATATATCAAGAGAAAGAGAGATAGAGATGTTGATCCTAAATGGCAAAACCGTACAGGACAGATATACCTTAATTTTGCACTCATGGTCTCACACCTTTTACACAGCCAAGTTTTCTGCAGCTCATCCTGTAGAACATTAAGAGGAAGATATGGACATCAGTGGATTCACTGGGAAAAAGAACATAGCTCAGACAGCATATTCTAATGGCTTGATAACAGATACCGATGAAACCACTTACATATTCGTGTTGACGTTGCAACTTAAGATCCTTCACAAGCTTAATAAGCACTCCTAGTATTTGTTCCAGGACCTTGTGAATGAAAAGTCATTACTAACTTTTAGTAGCGACGGTGAACAAGGAGTTGCCACACATATAAATCAAGGTTTAAAATTTATCATGCAACAGAAGGTAAAAAATTTTCCAACTAAGGGAATACAATACGGGTATATGCATTGGGCTTTTCACATACATTGTAATACTCTGTGAACTTCCTATCAGCTGAGTAGAGGTCTTCTCTAAGATCCGCTTCTTCCCTTTCAATCTCTTCAATTATCAACTTAACCCTGGAAAATTATGACCACAAGGTTACCGGTCAGTAATCAGGCCCAGAGAAAAGTGAGGGGGAAAACTTCTCAGGAATCAAATGTTCCTGGATATCAAAGAGAGAAACTTTTGACAAAAGCACAGTATTCACAACCAAGAAACTAACCAGAGCATTACATAGAGCAGCAATGCAACTCTTTTACGCAATGTAACATGGGCAGCTATAGAGAAACATTTTACTAATCATAAACATTTTCTTCTCCATGGATAAGATGCTCCCATCTTGAACAAGCCTTAAGGTGCCGTTCTTAGCTATTCGACCCCACATATGTGACAATATATATGCCCTGGAAAGGCAAGACTCCACCACTTTTTACAGGACTCATTAATTGATTTTTACAGATAGAAATTTCTACCAAAAACGTATAGAGAACAGCTCTGCCTTTCTTATAAACGACTTTATTCTGATTTAAACTGGAGAGATTAGAGCTAACCTTTCTGGAAGTCGAGCACTTGAGTTCTGGTTTCCTGAAGATGAATCTGACATTTAAGGAAGGAGATAGACAAGACCATGGTTTATCATATGTTACTCAAAAGAAAGTTTAAAATAAACAATTACATTAGACTGGAAAAAGAGAATTTAGGTTGGGAAATGAGATATCTCTTCCCGATGGTAAGTAGGTAATGAAATATTACCAGCGTCATCAACAATAGCATATGCCAATTTATCACATTTATCTTTCAGTCGGGCTTCTATCTCACGGGCAAGAAACATCTGGTAGTCAGCCATATCCTAAATAATGTTGTTACGAAACAACAAATTAAAGAAGATCAATGGATTATCTACACAAACTCCAATTCTCCATAAGGAAATGAGAAGATGTATTGTCACCAATAGATCAATACATAATATGCACATGTAAAAGAAATAGATTTAAACACATGCTACAAGGCAAATAATAAGCGAAAAATGCAAGATCCTAAAATACCATGGACATAGGCATATTTTGGAGCTGGACATGGCATAAATAAGCTGGTGTTAGTCCAAGAAAACGATTAGGAACACCGCCAACTCCAAGTTCCATGTCGGCAGCACTAGGATTTGCCCCACCAGAAGCGCTGTTTACTGAACTAGTAGTGTAATTCACAGAGTTAGAATTTGAACTAATTGTGAAACTCGTGCTCGTACTATCAAGAGAGCTTCTTGATAGTATACTCCACTTTTCAATCTCTTCCTCGTGAATTTCACCGTCATCTGATATAAGAGGTAGCCTCAATCTCTGGGCCGCCTCAGCAACAACTAACCGGTGTTCTAGATTCTCATACACCTGACACCATGACATATAATCTCAAGAAATTGCAGGTGTGATTTGATATATCAAATTTATAACGCTACTTAAAAACAAAATAACAATGATCCCTGCAACTTTATCAGAGATTAATGCTCAACGGTGAGACTATAAATGAAAAAATCACGCTAAATAGCATTGAATTCCAGAAATGATGATGTATATTAGTAACCTGGGGAGAGTTCTTCAAGCCAAGTTGGGGATATAGCCCCTGGACATCTCGAATTCCCCCAAGGCTAGCCACCGAAACAGCCTGCTGATATTCTTCCACCATAGCTATAGCCTCACAATAAATTGCCTAAAAATTCATAGAAAAAGACCAAAAAAGAATCCCCAAATTACATATCCAATCCCTATAACGCCATCACTGCCAGACTCATTTGTGAGTACCAAAATCCCAAGCTAATATTTTAGAATGATATTCAAAATTCCAAGCCCTAATTGGCATTATAAGCTCCAAATAGTAAAAAAAACGATTGGAAAAGAGATGCAGATCAAGAGTATCACCATAGCTTCCAAGTACCGCAATCTCTCCCGCGACATTTCTTCTCTTGCCTGCAAAATCGATCCAATAAATTGAGTGTTACAACGCGAACGAGAATCAAAGGGATCGAACTGGACGTCTAATTTCCCGAGAACCAAACAGAAGAGCAAGAAAATTGGGGAAAACAACACGGAAAATGTCGGAAGCAAATGAGAAAAAGAGAGAGAAATTACGAGTTGAAGATCGTAGTAAGCCGTTTTGGTGACGAGAGATCCATCGGGAGCCAAGCAGTGACGCTCCAACTGATCGATCAACTGGCTTACATCCGCCGGCAAATTCTGCCCCGCGCCTTGCAGAGCCTTCACCATTTGGGTTTTCCGGTGAGATGAAGGCGGCAATAGCGCCGATTCCGGAGCGATTCGAGTTTTTCCGGAGAGAGGATCTGCCTCGATCGCGTTGAAGCTGTAGTGAATTCAAATATTTCTCTGCGGCGCCCGATCTCGAAGGAACCCCCAAACAAAATTTTCTTTTTAAATCAACAAGATAAAGTTATTTCATCCTCTTTGCTTTTCTTGGATTTAAAAAAACCACTTCAAGGCAAAATAAAAAAGAAAGAAAAAAGCTGAAATTTCTTAGAATGTAATAAAAACAATATATATTTATATATATACATATAATTCCGAAAACTCTCGTTAAAAAAAAAACTAATCGATTCAAAGAATTTAGTATAATTATCATGTTAGATTTTGGAACGATTTAAATTTAATTTTACAAAAAAAAACTTATTTTTCAAAATGATAATTCGGTGTAAAATAGTAATATTTAATTAATTAATTGAATTAGATCAAAATACGATTATATTATTACAGAGGAAAACACATTCTTTCTTTACAAATCTGAGGCAGACCTCATTGCAAAAACACTACAAATTTTAACCAACGAAAAACACTGTTTAGATCACAAACTCAAGATCGAAACGAACTATTTTAGGAAATGTCACAACAGGTCGTTGCGAAGTTTGAGAGATTGGATCATGAAAGAGGCGGCCGAGTTTTCCGCGTCTCGTATTCGGCATCTTTCGTCTCCCTCTATGTACAGCACTCCTTCCTGCGTCGGTATCTTAACCGAACAGACGAATTTCTTCTCGTGCGATCTCCCTTCTTCTCTCTCGACACTGCGACGTAACATCCACCAAACATGTCACAGATTTGAAAAAACAAAAATGATGAAATGAAACTCCATGTCTGAACCAAAACAATGGCTAACCTGTAAATAGGTTTGGCCCACTTCTTCTTGATGCAACGCTCGTGCAACTTCTTCTTGGCACATTCTATCTCGAGGCCATCGTCGATGATCTCCGTATCGACGGTCAAAAACTCCGACAACCTACTTAACGCCGCCTTAGCGGCATTCAGCTTCGAGATCTCATTCTGCTCTGCAAACTCCGAGGCAATGCATTCGCCGTCTAGATATACACCTGCGATACTGCCTGTGTCGTTTTCCAGATACTTGATCTCGACCCGCTTTCCGTGTTTCTGACACAAATTAAACAGCTTTGTCACGGGATGGGGGTGCCTCTGGAGGTCTTCTAGTGTCGCTGTCGGCTCTAGTAAACCCCGGAAGATCTGCATTTTCACACAATAAACCATTCATTCACAAATCCACAGACCCGAAAAAACAGAACCGAATGGTAGAGTATGCGAAGGAGTAGCTACACACCACCCACAGTCTCTGTAGATCGAAATTCACATCGATGTAAACAGCAGCGGCAACAGATTCTACGAGATCGGCAAGCACTTTCGGCGCTTTAACCGATCCACCGTAAGAAACTGGACAGGTTTCATCTTCTTCCGCGATCGAGTCAGAGAACTCTTTCACCTATGAAACATCACAAAACAAAACAGGTTTGCTCGGTTTGGTATCCAGTAGTTGCTCAACGCCTGAGGACTTCACATAAACATGGTTCGGACAAACAAGATTTTCACTGTCAAATTGTCAATGTAATAACTTGAACTCATCGAATCATTATATAATTGCGGATTTCACCCTAACGCCTTCAATCTATCCATACTTCTCCCTAATAGGCTTCACTCTCGAAACATAATTGATCATCTTCTATCAATCAAGGAGACCCAGATATCATTCCATTCGGATCAATCTATGTCTGAACCAAAATCGATTTCTCTTCATATGGCATACAAATCAATCATCCCAAACTGGGGTCAATCCAATTTCCGCTACTACAATCGATTTTCTTCTATCAACCACGCAGACAGCAGAAGACATCCTAAATTGGCTTAATACCATTCGGATCAATCCACGTTTGAACCCAAATCGATTTCTCTTCCTATGGCATACAAATCAACCCTCCAAAAATGGATTCAATCCAATTTCGCGACCAAAATCGGTTTTCTTCTATCAACAAAAGAGAATAAAAAGCAAAAGAGAATAATTACCTTCTCGTCCATAGAAGGAACGTTGACGCGCCGAAGAAAGCGGTAGAGCCCGTGCTTGACAGCGACACGCGCGAGCTTCTCCGTACTGACGTTCACAGATCGAAGCTCAGACAATTGGCCTTGATCGAGATTAGGGTAGGCCAAGTACAAGTAGTTTGTGAAGGCCAAACCCAGAGATATGTCGCCGACGAACTCAAGCCGCTCGTACGACGGAGAGTCCATACACGACGAGTGAGTGAGCGCCTGCTCGAGAAGCCGCTTGTCCGTGAATCTGTGGTTCAAGATACTCTCCACGGATCGAACAGAATCCACCATGTCCGGCGACGGCGGAACCACCGGAACCGACGGCGAGAGAAGACGATCCATGGGAGAATCTGCGCGAGACTCCAAAGAAAAGGACGCCTCAGTGTCTGTTTGTGTTCTTTTCTGATTATTTACGACAGTAAGTTCAAATCCATTGGATCAGTTTGGTTTTTTCCATTTTTTATCTGTCAATATTTTTATAATTTTTCTTAATTGTAAACATTACCGAGTGTATCCAAATTTAAGAACTGTATAAACTTCAGCTAATTAACTTTGAAACACAATCACAAGTTGGAAGCTTCATATATCTACAGACACTACGACATTACATTACGTGAAGCAACTACTTCAACCCTTCATGTTCTGTTGGTTGGGTGCGTCCTTTTTTGTGGAATGACCGGACCAAGCAGATGAACTATTGACGTTAATCAAGGCCCGAGAGCGGAGAGGATCTTCTCGACACACTCAAATGCTCGGGAAAATCTGTCGGGAACTGCTCAAACATTCCAAAAAGTGGGCCCGATGTCTCGTCCTCTGAACCATCCTGACTCATTCCGCACTCCATATCGCCTCAGATTCTGCTCAAACGAGGGATCAACCCCCAGCCTCCGGTCCAACTCGGCCGGTGTGAATCATATTCTAAGAATCCTTGTCAGCTTGTAAACCTGGAAAATATGAGAGGAAATTTCAGTTCATATCCAAGATATTTCCGAGCTGTGTTAGTTCGTTTGAGCATTACGACATCACGGGCAGGCGAGTTTTATTTCGCAAATGGCGAGGAGGGGTGTCCTACTAGAAACAAGCTTTACCATTTCGGGATATCAAGACTTAGTAGCTATGCATCAATCAGAAACCATGGGTTATTGTAGATTAGCTGAAACTGGAACAATTCCCTTTCCATTCACATTGCATCATTTTCAGTTTTTTCATTGAATCAATTCATTCTTTCTTTTTTTTTTTTTAAGGAAAAATGACATTTTCGTAAAATGTGACTTTTTTCCTACACGAACTTTTAATTTGACAAAAACCTATACCAAATTATCAAATGTCCCAAATCAATACACGAACTACCCAATTTTACTACAATTTCCTACACAATCCGAAACGGTGTTAAGTATCCGTTAACAGCTGACGTGGGAGATCACGTGGCACGCCACGTAGAAATTTTTTGTCACATCAACATGTCACGTCATATTAAAAAAAAACAAAATACATATATATATATATATATATATATATATACAAACATCTATACAAATATATATACATATACATATATACAAATATATTTATATATATACATATACACATATATAAATACATATACACATATATATGTATTTATATATACATACATACATACAAAATAAAAATATACATATATATACAAATACAAATATAAACATATATACTCCTATGTATAAATATATCTATTTATACATAGGAGTATATATGTTTATATTTATATTTGTATATAGATATAAATATATATGTATATATATATATATGTATTTTTTTCTTTTTCTTTTTCTTTTTTTTTGTTTTTTAATTTGACGTGACATGCTGACGTGGCAAAAATTTTCTACGTGGCGTGCCACGTCAACTGCCACATGGCTTTCCACGTCAGCTGTTAACAGACAATTAACATCGTTTCGGATTGTGTAGGAAATTGAAGTAAAAATGGTAGTTCGTGTATCGATTTGGGACATTTGATAATTTAGTGTAGATTTTTGTTAAATTAAAAGTTCGTGTAGAAAAAAGTCACATTTTACAAAATCCGTGTAGGAAAATGTCATTTTTCCTTCTTTTTTTTTAATTCCTAGTTTTTGAATGTCATTGATATAAACTCTATGAACCAACACAAATAGGCATGAAAATGAAAATAAGAGAGAGAGCTAACCTGGGCAGTCCTGCTGGGTAGAAATACCTCCAAGCAGTTTCTCTGACCATCAACTCTGCGCATTCGTGGGCTCGTTAGAGATAATGAACAGATCCCATTTTAATCTCGAGAAAATTAGCAGCTTATAACAAGTGAAAACATGTGATAATCTTATACCTTCTGCTAATTGTTCGTTGAAGATATTGGTCCTCCTTCAGAAGTCCTTGACCACCATATTTTACTTCATCGGTGTTCAGTATCACCTGAAAACCACGAAAGTTCGCGGGTGAAACAAACGAGCAGCAACCTAATAGTAGTGTTTGCTGGCCTCTTCACGTATAAGAAATTACGGTAACGACAGTAACATTTATCTATTACTTTGCAACAAATAAAGCAATGGGTACAGGTATATAGACAAGAAAAAGGATGCGGAGTTTACACTGTATTCCCCAGCTTCGTCCACTCCAACACCATAGCTTTCATATGATTTTGAGGGGTGAAAATTAAATATAAACAGGAAAGGACCCCGTGAAAAAGATATTACCTGTAGATGAGGAAAGATTAGTTTATCTTTCACGAATGAAGCATTATGCAGTCATTGCATTTTCATTTAAAAGGGTCAGTGTCTTAAGTTTGCATATGCATCTCAGTTCATAATTCTGTAAATGTACATGGAAGTCCCGATAAATCCTTGCCCTTATGTGACAACCAAATTGTATACAAATCCATGAAAACACTAGCATGCCTATGAATCACAGAACTTAGAGAAGCCGATTTACATACATGAAAGAGTTCATACCATATTTGCATCATTCACATGGTGAATGCTTGGAAGACCTTTTGCAAGAATACATTCGCTTTCGTCCAACGCCATTAGCTCCTAAAAAGAACACCAAAGTCATCATATTTCTATGGAGTCCAATTGTGCAATGTTTCTCTAATTAAGAAAGCGAGCTCTTGTTAAGCTTGTAACAAAATTCTTCCGTACCTTAACGTTATTATGATGTAAACTAGAATAAACATGATTTTCACAATTTCAAGGCATAGAAGACAGATGCATGATTGTATATCAAGGCCACCAAGAAGGTGGATTTGCTTAAGCTGAGAGAGAATACTTGCTTCCCATGCAGGGATAAATATATATATATATATATATTTTGTAGAGAAAAATCCGTTACAATTGATAAGATTCATTTACCTCGATCATGGAACAAAGAGTTTTCAATAACCAGAAAATATATTTGCACCTACCGAAACTGAACACGTATTTATCAGTTTCCATATAATGTTGAGTAGTTTAGTGATCCTTATGGGAGAGACTATATAGTGGAAATAGAAGAAACGCTTTAGTAGAAAGTTGGTAGAGCTGAAACCTTATCAAATGAAAACAGATCATGATGCACTCCTCTTTCCATCAGTTCCCAGCGACGGTTCGCAAGTGAGAATGAGAAGTCATTGCTATGCATTGGGAACTCAACACTCTGATAAAAGAACAAAAGATCAGCAACTTGAACAAGATTTTTTGGGAGAACTGCGAGAATTTGGAGACTTACCTCAGGATGTCCAAATTCATTTCCCATGAAATTGAGGTAAGCAAGACCACCGATTGCAAATGTGATCAGTTTAATCATCTGATTTAAGCAAGAAAAAAAGAAGCTTTCATAATTTAAGGCAGACTAAACAAGGAATAATATTTAGAACTCCAGATTTCTGTTGGAATAAATCTTTCAAATGCCAAGACCAGACAAAGGAAGAGTGAGCAGATGGAGACTTAGGGAAAACAAATGATTGTTTGAGCAGGGAATCTTGTTAAGATATGTACCTTATGAAGTGAAGTTCCCCTGAGAAGCAATTCTTTCCTTCCAGAAGGATCATTGTCGGCTGCGCCAAACAGGATTTCTGCGAATGACCGCCCTCCCGATATGGACTGGAAGAAAGGTAGAATAAATAAAATGCTATATAAAGGAAAATCTTATAGTACATACCGAAAAGCCGTTGACATCTAAAACTAAGAGGGAGTGAATTACTTGGTTGTAATTTTCTGCATAGACGACCATCTTTTCTGCATACTCTCGATTGGCCATCAATGTACTTGCAATCTGCAGAACAGGCCAAGAATCAGAGACAGGAACAAGTTTTCTTTCATTCCGCTTCAAAAATGAAACTTTCAAAGTTATGACCTTGTTCATGCTCCATTCATTATCTGGTGTACTGTCCAGGAGAGACAGCCACATGTCACTTGCGGAAAGGTTGACATAATAATCAAATCCAAGTCCACCTTGAGAAACTGGCTCACATAATCCAGGGTAATATGTTGCCTAAATAGTGGAAAGAAAACTTTACTAAGTTCCATGTAATGATGAGATAGTGAAATTCAATATTACACATTCAGCATAAAACAATTAAAAAACTACAGAAAACTGACAAGAACCCTAAACCTTTTCATCCATAATTTTTATTTTGGAATTAGTAAAAATAATTCCTCAACAGCCTTATTTTTCTTGGTGTCAGGATCGGTATAAAATGACTCAAGCTAGCCAACATTGTTGAATACTGCTATATGTAAGACATGACATGCGTGCATGCACATACATTTCTATATTGTGAAAAACATGCAGACATTTCTACACATCCCTCCCAGACACATTTAAATCCAAAGATATGCCTGGACAATGTAAAATATAATATTAAAAAAGCTGCAGCAATTAACAGGGCCAATCTAAGAGGTATCATTTATCATGGACTGAGTAGTAGATTTTGAAAAATTCAAAGGGTCGCGCACACTAGAAACATAATACAGGGAATTTTTGGCTTTGTTTCACGATGGAAAGGGTCTCTGCAACTTCCTTGCTGATAGTATACTCAGTTAACACCAAACAGATACACTAACGATCTAGAACAGATGAACTGACTTAATAAAATTATGGAAGATTATAATCCCACGATATATTTGCAAGGAACTTCATGAACAATAGGATTAGAACACGCAGAAGGTCTGTACAGTTTATATTCGGTCTTTCTAGGAACAAAGATTGCATATCATAGGAGTTCCTTGTTTCCTTGTCACAAAGGTTCCGTTCTCTTTATTTCCCAAATTGTCAACCATAAAGAAAGTATCATTGCTTCCTTTCTCAGAGCTAACATCACAATTACAAAATCCATGAAGCAGTTTTTATGTCCGCAAGCAAGAGTTTCTAGGAAAAAGAAGAAAACGTTTTTGTATCATCTGAACTAAGTCTACCCTCGATACCAAAACCAAATATCTTCACAGCTTCTGTCACGAACATTCTTGTAGACTTGCTTTAGTTATATATAAATAATCACTGACAAGATATGACTATTCCTTCATATCTCCATTCTAAGAATACCTTTAAATGCAGAATATATTAGTTGAAGCAAAACTTACATCCTCAGCAATTGTTATTATATTTGGATGAAGAATATGAAGGAACTCATTGGCCAAAATGAGGTACATCAAAGCATCTCGGTCGACGTACTGATTGCAATAGCTGCAATAAAATAAACGAATTTCACCAACATGGAAATCTAAAAGGAAACAAGAAAAATATTTCTAACCAGTGACATCAGTCGATAAGAAGAAAAATGTGTCCTTTACACCAAACACGTTTTGCAAAGTTATTGAAACTGATATTGGATGAGATGAACAATAAGAGATGTCTTACTCCTCCAAATCATTGGTAAAAGAAGCAAAACCATTGTGAGTGTAAATCATTGAGGCAAGTGAATGAAATTGGAAACCATCAACCTGATACTCTGTAGCCCACCTGTGAAAACAAAATTGGAATCAAACAGATCCTACACCAAAAAACTAAAAAAAATGGTGGTATGAACCTAGCACGTTATAACAAAAAGGGTGTACGTGAGATCCAACTGAATGCATTGACCAAGGCATTATGATAAAACAAGATAACAAATTTAAAGTTTTTGCCTTTACCAGTTCAGATTTGATAGGAGAAATTGAAGAACATCAAGATCCCCATATTTGAACATGCGAGTTCCCCAGTGTTTGTGATATCCCCTTTTACCTATTGGCACCAGAAAAACAAAACATAGTGTTTCATATCACGTTTTTTATTAAGTTATTATATCTTTGGCATATAATGGCTTCTTGAAACATACAAAAGAAATTCAGTGGTAGGCAAAGACCAACAGCATACCACGATCACTAGGCACCATATAGAAAAAGCTGTGTAAATCTCAAAAGTTTAACAAAAGAGCAGGTGGTTCCCTCTGACAAATACTAAGGTGAAAAAGGACCAGAGAAAGTTGGTAAAAATGCAAAGATTTCAAAGGATAGGTGAAACTGTTCAAGTGCATGCAGTGAAGTAGAAGGTTAAAATAATTCCCAGTCCCCTGGACAATCTTAAGAGTTTTACAGAACACAAGTGAGAAAAAAATAGAGAGAAGACACAATATGGTACGATATAAATTTTAAAAAGGACACGTAAAAATGGAAGATTACCAGAATGGAAATAACAATCATTTGAACCATCAAAATGTGAGAGCCCAACCATCTGATCAGCTGCTGCATAAGAATGCACAATGTCTAGGAAGACAAGAAGTCCTAGTCCTGCCAAAAGATCAATCAACATACAGTTAGTACATGTTTCGCAGACAATGGCATACTTATTATGATCGTTCTCTGAGAGATCCACTGTGAGGGAAGAGAATATTTACCATGGGCTTCATCTACTAAATGCTTAAAATCATCAGGTGTGCCATATCGGCTACTAACAGCAAAGAAATTGGTAACCTGGAAATGGTAATGACAAAGAATGATGGAGGGTGAGGAAAGAATCAACACTTCATAATGTAATTAGCTTCATGTAACATCTTCTCTTTCTTATTAATTCTTGTCTGTTGTTCTACTCTCTATTTTCTGTTTTTTTAATCCTATTCTCTTCATGCCATCTCCATTCTCTTCTTTCGACCTATTTCTATATTTTCACAAGTAGCGATTTGGTGCCTTAGACTTCTTATTACTTTCAGAGTCTCTCGCACATGCATTGTTGTGAGCAGAATCAATTACGCTGCTCTAGACAACCAAATATAAATACGTAGACAACTCAGAAAAGTATCACTACAAGTCTACAAGAACACGGGATTGGATAAATTACAAATACAGAAAGAGAATGAGACACTTAGATGGCTCACCCTATAACCAACAGTGAAATAGTCCTTGTGCTCAGGAATTCCTATCAACTGGATTGCATTGTATCCAGCTCTTTTTACATGGGGAAGGACCTGATGTTTGAAAAATAACGAAAACACTAAGTTGTGGGCATCATACAACCCCAAGAAAGAATATAATGAATGCATTAGAAGGTACCTTCTTGGTAAATTCAGCGAAGGTAGAAATTTTTTGCTCAGACCCACTGATCCCAACGTGGCATTCATATATACGCAAGGACTTTGGAACTTTTGGTTTGGAACTTTTCCACTTGTACACAGATTCAGGAGGAGGTTCCCAGTGAATTGCATATGCTTGCTTTCCTTCACCCTCTATTTTCAGAAGGATAAACAAAAGCTTCGCATTTTTAGAGAAATCGTATATATAGAGTCATGGTGATGAAGTTGAATTTAAAGCGTAGATTTAAAGAGAAAAGGGCATATTAGTGGAGCATTGCAGACTAAAAAATATAGAACCGTGACAGGCTTCATAATTCCAAATGGGTGATATTGTTTAGTAAGATTATTATTCAAGTACTCAGACAGTTTCTGGTTAGATCTATTTCTCTATGTCAAGGGAAACAAACCCTGAAGAAATCGAATAGAATCCTTCAGGCCAAGTCCTCAAATAAGGGAAAAGCCCAACTAAATCATCACTTCCTTCTGTTTTGTCTAACAAAGGAGTGTGATCCAAATTATGATTTCTTGTGTTACTCTTTAACAATTAAAAGCTCGGATGTTACAATACCTGGTTGCACATATGTAGCCCAAGCAGGCACTCGTTCGAGTGGTCCATCAGGAGTGTTGAAATACAGTCTGTACTTGCTTCCATGTGGAACAGCTGGAATATATTTTTTTAACCAGGCTAATCTTCCTTTTCGAGTCTCTAACCAATACGGAATGGGAGCTGTTTTTCCACGAAATTTCTCCGTCCACTCTGGAGTTGTTATGACATTGAAGATATCAAATGGTTTTCCTTGATCAATCACATCACATGGAGGTAAATTACTCGGTGGATCATCTTTATGCTGCTCTTTCCATTGTTTATACCTTGTTTCTGCGTCTGCCATTTCTCCTAGCTCTTCTATTGTTTGAGGACCATTCGGGCCAAACAGTTCCTCATACAGCTTCGCAGGGACTTCAAAACGGTTATTCACAAACCGATCTTCACCCGGTTCCCAATACTCGTCATTAGCTTTCTTGAAGATTTCTTCGGCCGACATACCATTATCACCCTTATCATAGTCATCAACATAGTTATACTGCTGAAAGTACAACTCATCTGGTTTTTCACCTTCTCTTAACTTATCTTCAAGAATAATAAACCAGTATCCATAATCATCATGGCCAAAAAGACCCTCCCTTGCAGCATTTTCCGTGGGGGACCATCCATTGAATTCACCAACTATAGCACCATACCGTGCGCCTGGATTTAGCACAGGTTAGCGTTCTCAAGTAAACGCCAAAAATATAACATACTTATCAAGAACAACTGTTACAGAGTGATTTTCATGAAACAAATCTCTTTGTCTATAAGCTCTGAGACCTTAGCAAGTATGATAAAGGAAAATCATCAACAAGGGAAAGATAAAACGTAATTCAGGTGTAGATTTGAGAGCATGAGATGAAAACCTGGACCCCAGTCCATAAAATCAACCCGATGTTCCAGATGCCGATGCATCCCCAGTAACTCAAATCTACAGGTTGAAGAAGGCAACTCATCAGACTAAACCATTTGGAAATCAATCCACAAATAACTTGTAAGATGGAAAGCTTGAAAAGAAAAGACACTTGCCAAAAAGAAAATCTCATGAGAAAACAAGGCCAATGAACAAACATGTTCAAGCAAAAAATGAAGCTTCGGAATCATATTAGTCAAGAATAATAGGACTTGAGAAAAGGATCCGTACCCTGAACAGAAATCTCTGAAATTCATGTGCCGCCGGAGAATCTCATCTTTAAGGTCCTTCAGTGCTTTATATCTAGAGATTCAACAATAGGAACGTGATTATACAGAAAACATTTCGAAATGCTATTAACTAGTTTAGATATTCAAATTACGAAAATTCGTTATAGAGTGAATTCACATAAAATAATCTTCCACCATGAACAATAATAGGAACTAAGAGAACTCTTCATTGACAAGAAATGCGGAAGGGACGAAGCATTTTCTCGCTGTCTGATCAAATTTTCGTCTGGGTTTGAATTCATTTTACCTTTCTCGGAGAAATTGAGCGAAAATCCTGTCGGAAATTCCGAGTCTGGTGAGAAACCCAACTGGGTCGATCCCAGGTTCAGTTTCACTGGAGCTCATAGTCTTCTTCTTCTGTTTCTTCTGCCTCTGCTGGTTTGGCTGGTTAGCAGCGAAGCACGTGATTTTCAACTTGATTTTCCTAGGAAAATTGAGGCTAGTGTTTCGTAAGCGCCCATTGTGGGGACGAAATTGAAGGCGGAGGTTGTTTGGATGGAGAGAAGGTTTGGTCGGAGTTGAGAGGGAAATCATGTTTGATGGCGAAGAAATTCACGGAAGGTGTCAGGGTTTAGATAAGGGGGTTTTTGAGTCGACTCGGGAAGCGAACGAGTTCACTCGGGTTGCCACGTAGGGGGAGGAAGGCCGGATTTACCGTACCAATGCGGTTGAAATGTCAAAATTGCAAAAATAACCCCAAATGTCTATCTTGACTTCAAAGATGACCTTCTAGGTTTAGAGTTTTCAAAAAAAAAAACTAAAATGACAAAAAGACTAGTTTGCTCTTAAAAAATTGAATACGTGGCAACTCTTTATATAATGAAAAAAAACATTCGAAAAATTTACTCTCTCACTTTTTAAAAAAAAAATTCAAAACATATTTTTTTCTTTTTCTCTCCAAAGAGATTTCGTTGGTGATTCTAACAACAAATAATCCAATTTCCGTCTTATACTCGACATATTTCTCTACTATGACGAGATCTGACATTTCAAAGTTGAAGAATTTGAGAATGTATGGAAAGTGTTCGATAAAAATCCTCAGAAAAAATTTGGCTCTTAAAACGTCATACTGGTCATATCGGTCAGACTTTGGTCATACCGATTAGATTTTGGTCAGACGTTCACAATTTAGTCAGCCGGTCACACTTTGAGTGAATATGACTTATGTTAAGAGATTTTTTTATACATGAAATTAGATCATCAGAACGATGAAATGTATTCTTGTAATCCTTATACAACTTTTTGAATCGTTTAAACTTAATTTAGACCTTTATTTTTCGTGTAAAAAAATGGTCATACCAAACACACTCTGATAAGACGGTCAGACATTAGCCATACAGTCAGAATTTGGTCAGACGGTCAGACTTCTTAAAAATTGATGAATTTATCATTTTAAAAGTGTTAATATGATATAATAATAATAATAATCTCATATAACACATTTTTTAAATTTAAAATCGGTCAGACGGTTAGACTTTGGTCAAACTGATGATACTTTGATGAGACGATCAGACTTTGGTCATACGGTCGGACTTTGGTCATACCGATCATATTTTGATCATATCATTATACGAGTCAGACTAGTCAGACTTTTTCAAAAATGATGAATTTATAAATTTAAAAGTGTAGATCAAACATATTCTTCTTATATTGAATTTTTGGCTTATTAGAGTTTCACTTCGATTCGATTCGAAGGAACAATATCATTTAAGCTTACATTCGTCAAACTTTTCCTCTAGAACGAGATCCGACACACCAAAATTGAGGAATTTGAGAATGCATGGAAAGTGTTTGATGAAAATCCTCAAAGAAATTTTGGCTATTGAAATATCACATCGGTCAAACCGATCTGATTTTGTTTATGGTGTCAAGAACAGCGATGTCATCAACAACTCCTTCCAAAGAGACCTAAAGTAATAGCAGTGGTTATGTAACACATTGAGTACAATTGATTTATGTCGAAAGATTTTTTTTCTACGTAAAATTAGAACTCCAAAACGATGCGAAAGTAATTTTATAATCCCTATACAACTTTTCGAATCGTTTAGATTTAATTTAGGTATTTTTTCGTACCCAAATGGTCTCTCCTCTCCCATGATCAGATGGTCATACCTTGGTCAGACGGTCAGACTTGTTCGAAATTGCATAATTCATCGTTTTAAAAGTGTTAACATTGTCATAATCACATCATATCACAAATATTTCAATTCAAATCGGTCGTAGCAATATGGATTGAACATATTTTTTGTTTGTCAATATAACTCATTCCAAAGAAGACATAAAGTAATAGTAGTGTTTATGTAACACATTGAGTACAATTGGCTTATGTTGAGAGATTTTTTTTCCACGTGAAATTAGAACTTCAAAACGATGCAAAAGTATTCTTATAACCCCTATACAACTTTTCAAATCGTTTAGATTTAATTTATGACCAGTTTTGCAAGTATGACCAGTTTGACGAGTTTGAGAAGTATGACCAGTCTAACCATTCCGATACGTATGTATGACCAGTTTCCTGAATTCTCCCGTTTTGATGAATTTCACAAATTTAATGATTTCGACCAGTTTAAATAACGTGAATCATGGTATTTCTGATAAATATATCATTTTTTTATTCAACCCATATTCATATGGATCAAATATAAAGATGAGAAAACAACAAAGCAAAAATACTTACAAATACTCAAACTTAATAACGAAATTTATAAACAATACTTTCATTTATTCAGATCAGTGTTTAATCGATGAAATGTCCAAACTTAATGTTATTTTTTCACAATAAATTAGTTGAAAAAGAAATGGAGATGAAGGCTGCAAACCACAGAAGAATGGTAGTTCGACAGAGGTGGGAGAGGAGAGAGAGAGAGAGGTGGGAGAGGAGAGAGAGAAGAGAGAGGAAAAAGATTTGTAATATATATTTTTTAATTTAATAATAAATTAAAAACAAATGGTATTTTTGGAAAGATACAATTATAAGGTTATGTGATGATGTTGTGTTTTTTTTTTAAAAAAGTCATGGTCATCCCTTGAAGTCAAATCGACAATTGAGGTTATTTTTGCAATTGCCCCGGTTGAAATCGATTGGTCAATATAATTATTATAAAAACCAACCGAATAAATAAATAAAGGTATAAAAAATCACATATTTTCCGTAACTATTAACAGCATAATAAACTAAAAATTTGTTGATATGAATGCCGATGTGGCGTATTTGCACGTGTTATATTGATGCGTAATTTCGAGGGAGAGTTCAGTCAAATTAACCATGATCAATAAATCTAATTGTTCCATTTATTTATGTTCCAACAACGAACAACAAACCGTAAGAATGTTACAATTTGGTTACAGAAATTCAGATCAAATTTTATGTTACGGAGCTTCGTTTTTGGTTTCAAGCGCCTTTGATCTTCTTGGTCGCGATCTCCAAGTTTCTCCTCGTGATTTGGAGTTCTCTTGAGCAGTAATGTAATCTGTCTATCACCATTGCAAGAAACAGCAGTGCCCCTTTTTACCAAAAGACAAGATTGTCGCATTTCGGTTCAGTTATTCAAAACCGAATGGATTCATTCCTAACCGAGCAATTCATAAATGTTTTCAAACCAAATTCGATATCTGATTAGTAAACGGATAAAATTGATCATGATGAATCAAACGTCAATCAAATATAAAAATAACTGAAAATTTTAAATATTTCTTTAAAAATGAGTTTTTTTTAATCTAGAATTTAAAATGAACCCGAATGTAAACCAAATCAAATTGAATCTACTATAAAACCTTAATTGAAAAAAATTCAAACCGAAAAATAATCGAACCAAACCCTAACCGGAATCCGAAATAGCTAAGATTACCACACATAAACCAAACATCCAAACTTTTCAAGAAATGACATAGTAGTTCAAGTTTTTATCTCGATTTTTCATTCGTTTCGGGTTATTCGACGTTCATACTGTACGTTCGGGAGGTCCATATATATATGTATGTATTCCATATATATGAACATAGCTTATGAAATCAAACCATGGACCAAAATCATGAATACAATGTAGAAAACAAGAAAAGGCAAGGACGATGGTCATACATAACATACCAATGAGAAACGTTTCGAGAAGGCGGTTCGCGAACAATATCTGATCGGTCTGATTGGCGATACCACCAGACTCGGAAACCCGTCTATGAATGTGGACGGCATTGAACAAGACCGAGCCAAACAGCACAAGCACTGTGGCCGCAACTGTCTTTGTGACCAACGGCCCTCTCCCTTGCTTCAACAGATCCAACACTGTCACCAAAACCCTCCTCAACGGCGAGCCGAAACTTAGGGCAATAATCACTGCCGCCTCGGCCGTTACAACCGTAAACAGAAGCTGAAACATCTCTAACATTATTTTGTTTGGTTTCGTTTTTTTTTACACAAAATGTTGTCGGAATTTGAAGTTTTGAGGACTTGTTCATGAGGAAAAGAATAACATAGACGTGAGAATATATGGAGTGATTCTTTGCTCACTAGTAACTTCAACTTTATGATTTTTAAGTATTGATTGTTGTGAAGATTTTGTATCGGTGGTGACCCGTTTGCTTGGCCCTTGGGATGAGATAATGGGTTAGGGTTAAATATTCTGATTATGTTTTTTTAAATTGGACAGACCCCAAAAATATCGGTTTCTTGCTGTGTTTGGGATGGGTCACGTTAAATCGGACCGAGTCAACTCGTTTGATACAGCGATTTTCCGACAAGAGAATCTGAGGTGGTAGACCTCTCCCCTAAATTAAGCCATACACAAGAAGCAGTCATCTAACGTGAATCACTCAAATGCATTGTCTAAAAAAACCCATATAAAATCATTTTGTGTAAACAAAATTAAGACTCTTAGACAATAAATAAAAATATTAAATAACTTGGGGATCAGTTTTTATAATGTTTTAAAATTGTATAAATTTATTTGTTGTAATCAAATATCATAAAATGTTCGCTTGTCGTATCAACTTGGCTAACAGCAAGAGGTCCACGCATGGGGTTATACGGTAATAATGATATTTTCTATTCATTTTATTAAAATAATATAAAAGAAAAACTCATGAGCGAGGAAACAATATATTTCATGTGTGATCTTGAAAATTTAACCATGTTGTTTTCACTCTATTTTGATAATGCTTTCCATCATTTTCCATCTGTATCACCTTGACTTTGACTATATATATATATATATAGGGAACATTGATTTGGACACCACCAATAATTTTTGCTTACGTTCGAATTAAAATATTATTTTAGAAATTCAGAATACAGCTGCTTTAGATTGTATACAGAGATGGAGTATATATAATATTTAATCATAGAATTATTTGTGTGGAAAATGTCTATCGAAAATAAATGATCTTTGACTACTTCATGTCTCTCATCATTTATGATGTGATAATCCTTTAGTTTTCACATTTCTGTTTTAATTCAGTGCACAGAATCTTCATTTTTTTTCCACATATTAGATCTGGTTTTAAATAATTTGCAGAATTTAAAACTCTAAAAATATGTCCGAACCGATGAAAAGGAAATGTGATATAGAAGCTTTATCATTAGCATATAAATTTATTTTTACCATAATAAATAACGTATTAAAATTTTCAAGTGTTTTTTTTAAAAGTAAATATTAATTAGTCACTACGTTAATATTAATGGGATATGAAATATTTTAGACACTTAATAAATGAAATATACGTATTAAATGCAGCACTTTATCCATGATGAGACATTTAAACTCTATCTCGAACAACTAATTTTCATTTTCTTTTGCCAATAAAATCGAATCTGACATATTTTGTTTAAAATCTGTTTGAATATTTTTAAAATTAATCCAAAACAAATGAAAATTTGATCACAATGATTAGAAACGAATTGAATAGATGAAAGTGTTAAGATCTTCATATTATATCCGTAATCTGAGGGTTCTTCTTCGACATGTATTATATTGACTTGATTTAAAAAAAAAACCCTTGATTTGGGCAACGGCAATAATTTCGACAATGAATTTAATATCATTTTAAGAAGTACAGAAGTACCTTAGATTCTATACGGAAATAGAATCATGTTTACTTACATACAAAACATGTAATAAATATTTTTATTTACCTAATGAGAATATTTTGCAGAGGGTAGTAGGTCATAACAATGATGCTATTTTCCGAGTTGTTATATTGAAAAATTTATTAACAGATAATCAAATCATTTAAAATAATATATTTGAAAAAATAAGTATAAAAATAAACAAAACGTATACAAAATAAAGAAGATATAAATAAAATATTTTTGAATTACTACATTACATTAGTATAAAAGATCTATATATCAAAAAGTACGCTAAAATATTTATAATTATAATTCTAGAAACTTAAAAAATGAATTTAAATATAAAATATTATAACTTAAATATTTTGTTGCCTTAATCGAACTTCCATGCATGGCACGACTAGCATAACGCATATGAGACTGGCATCAACGTCGTGTCTCGCAAGTTTATTTCTTTATTTTTAAAATTTTCTTTTTCTTTTTCTTTTTTAGATTACGGTATTAAATGAACTTATCAATGCATCTCAGATCCATTCTCTTTGCACGTGTTTGGTCTTCCCTTCATTTTCACATATCATAAATTCAAACAATATTTTCGAGAATTAATTTGAACCAATGAACATTCTTTAAGAAAATATACAGTTTCAATTATTATATGAAAGTTAAAGAAATTTCTTCATTATATATATATATATATTCTATTAAATATACTATATAAGTTCATAATATCCATTGTTAGATACTTTTCTAACAAAAATATTTCAAAAGTAATGGCTGCGATATCACATTAAATATGAGAAATTTAGAATCATACTTACTCTAACAAAATTAATAATTTTCTAGTAAGTGATTTTGGAATAAATAATCTAAAAGTTTGGTAAAAGTTTTTAAAAATATAAAAGTAACCCATTCACATTTCATTTTAAATTTTGTATTTATTTGAATATTAGACTATATATTTTAAAAGTTATATATTATTATCAATTTATAGTAATCCATTTAAATATAGATTACAGTGAATTGACATGTTAAAACAGTTAATGGATTAACTTTAGATCTGATTTGATAATAAAATATAATATAAAATATAAAATTCTAGAAAAAACTATTTTAAAAAAGATGCACAATTAATAAATTTGGAAGAGTATGGATAATGGAAATTAGATGATTCTCTATTTCCATTATAATTAATCCCATGTAACTCGCGATAGTGGTACTTTTTAGAAGAATTTCAGTGCTTTACATTACCAATAAAAAGCATATATATATATACTCAACATTTATTACATCCTCGTATATGAAAAATGCAACTATTTTCTTTAACCAACTTCGTGTTTCCAAGAACTCTATATGAAAATAACCCAATTTATTATTATGAAATTCTTTACTCAAAACTCTAAATGAAAATAACCATGAAAAACAAAAGACTTTAAATTATAAAAAGATAAAAGATTATTCATTATTTTTTAATATATTTATCCTTTAAAATTTAAAACTAAAAAATCTCCATTTAAAAAAAAATCCTGAATAACTAAATCATCTTTCTTTTACATTATTCCCAATCCCACTTTTCTCACCATAATATTTCATTTTATATACCTAGAAAATTATATAAGAATAAAACCAAGATAAAATAAATCTTTTTTTTATTAAAGTTAAATACACATAATCTAAACCTATTGGTCTAAGGATTTTTTTATAACTAAATAGTGCACAATAGATTTTGGATTGCAATAAAGGATTGTGATTAAGACATTTCACACACGCACACACACACACACACACATATATATATATATATATATATATATATTTGTTATTTATAATTTTTTCTCCAACTTTGGTAGAGAAATGAAAAACATTTCAAATTAGAAATGAAAAATATATGTGGAAGATCAAATTTTGGCAATAGAAATGAAAAATTGTAGCATAGAGATGTGGGATTAGCCAATATAATGTAAACAAAAGATAATTTAGTTATTTATAATTTTGTTAAAAAGTGCATTGTTTTTTTGGGTTTGAAGAATAAATAAATTAAAAATATTGTGTATTTTTATCTTCTAACTCTGTTTGTCTATGGTCATTTTTATTTAATATATATATATATAAGAATAAATAAGTTATAGTATATAGACTTTCAAACAAAGAGCTTTTAAGTAAGAGGTTTAGTTTTAATAGGATATAAAGTTACAGATTTTTTCGGATTTGTCCTAATAATAACAACAATAACAGAGTGCCACATCACTTGACCATAAAACATGTATTGAGAAAAGCCATATTAAAATATAATTTTAATTAGAAAATATAACACATGTAAAGATTCTTGAGATTGTGCTATCAATTACATAGATATGGCAATGCGTATTTTTTTTTACTTGTAATGCATGTAGTACCAATATAATATTTTTAGTCTAAAAATAAAAATTCAATTTTAAATTTTTTTTAAAAAAAGTAAAGGAAAATATATTCTTGTATTTTTTGGTATTTATTTTACAAATTAGTTTGGCTGTCTGGGGTTTGGCTGAAGTTATATTTTGTTTGGGATATAGTTTCAAATAAATTAACGTGAATGTTCTAGATTCAATTTTTTTTTTTCGTTTAGAATATATAAATATATTTATGGTTAAATTAACATGAATGTCCATATTAAATTCACATGGTTATATTAGTTTAACGGATAATGAATTTATTCAAATACAAATTAAAATCAAAATCAAAACCAATAGAACTGGACCAAAATAAATTTTGATTATTTTTATTTCGAATGGAATTTGTTTTCTAAATATCTTTATCCACTAACAATAAAAAAAAACTAAAACTAAAATCGAAAAAAGAAAAAGAAATCGTCGGAGCGACTAAATGAATAATGAAAACTTCTTCTTTTTTTGGTCTAAACTTGCACGTCAGATTCCTTTCTTCTCATCCTTATTTAATTTCTGCATCATCAGTGGAATTGGCCCAACACTTCATAATAAATAATCTCTCTCCCTCTCTCCCTCTCCCAATCTCTCTCTCTCTCTCTCTCTCTCTCTCTCTCTCTCTCTCTTACAGCAATGGCAAAAGAATCTGTCACAGAAACACTTCTTCAGAAACAGAAGCATAAAGAAGAAGACATTGAAGCAAACAAGGTCACCGACGGTGACGGAGCCGTCACTTTAGTACTTCTCCTCTCCACCTTCACTGCTCTCTGCAGCACCTTCTCCTATGGCATTGCGGTGATTTTCTCATCTTTCTTTCAACCATTTTCTTCATCTTTTTCTCTATTTCTTTTTGGTTTTATGCCTTGATGGTCTGTTAATTACATTTTTTTTTTATAAAAACACCGAATGATTCATGGAAATCGATAGCAAAAAATGAAGAAAAAAAAACTTGCAAGAATTTTATTTAAATATAACATGTATACACACACATATATTATATGGTTCGCTTTTTTCTTGGTTTTCTCAGTTTTAATTGGAATAATCTTGGACCTTCGAGTCATTAAACACATATATAAAAATTTTAACAGTTTTTATGTTCGATAATATCCTAAAAAGTTGCTCTCTCAGTTTAATTTTACATGAATTTTTAGATTTAAACACGTATATTAAAAAATATTTTGCCCAAAAATACACTTAATACCTAGAGAATTATTATATTGAAACATGCAGAATACTTAATGATTATCAATAAGGGGTAAATTCGGAAAAATATAAAAAAAATATTTATTAAACCGAGGGAGTATTTATTTTTACTATTGCATCTCAACTTTATATCTGGTTTATATTATATTCATTTTTTTTTTATCTTTTTCCTTT